CTGACGCCTATATAAACGTCAGTCTTCTTGCCTTTGCTCCAGATTCTCCTCCACCACGATGCTGTGAACACCTACTCCAAGGCCGAGGGACTGATTACCTCATCTTTTGTATATAGTTCTACTGTCTTCTTATTATGTCCTAGGATCTGTATTGATAAAGCCACTGGATGGCGAAACGTCTACAATAAAGATATCCAGATGTTGCACATGTGTCTTAACTTTCACCACTATCTCTGTTGATCTCTTTCTCTCTCTGCCTGTCTCTGTCTGCCTATCTCTCTCTCTCTCTGTAGAGCATAGGTGATAGGATATTTTGGCAGGATGACACTACCAGCTGCATCAAAATTGAAAGGATGTGGCACAAATGTTGCACTTGGGTTATTATCAAGGTTTTTAACATTTCCTTGACTACTTGTAGCCACATCTATCTCAGAACCACTTTCCTCAGAAAAAGGGAGTGTTAATGCAACATGACATCAGTGAATCCCTGGTGTTTGTCATGCTGTTTGCTCTAGCTGGGACTCAGTTGAACTGGTGCTCCCACAAGATACTAAGTGGTCCTAAATTTTTTTAATGCTGTGCACAGTAATTGCTAAGACCCATTCTATATTGCTTAGGCCTAGGCCTATTGGGTCTCTAGTGCCAAATTTGAAGACAGGAAAAATAGTGCGTTGATCAACGTCTTGAGTGCTAGCAGTAAAACATAGATCAACATTTAGCATTGTTATGATTGCATCATTTTTGCTTTTATTTGGTCTGAAACCAAATTGGCAGGGGTTATATTGCATGATGCCAGAAAGAAGTATAATCTCTTGTATATTAATTTTTCAAAAATTTTGGATAACAATGGTAAGTTAAATATTGGTCTATAGTTATTTACATCAGTTGAGTCTCTACTTTTGTGTATTAGGGTAACCCTTGCTATCTTGAGTACTGCTGGGAAAGTGTTGGTTTCTAGTGCTTTGTTAAACAATGTTGTAATGGCAGGTGAAAAGACGAGTTGCTCTTTTGAACAGTAGTGGTGGGACTTGATCTAAATTTCCTGACTTGTTTTTCAGAGAATTAATAATTTGTGTGAACTCAGTTGGAGCAAGGTAGAGGGATGTTGGAAAGCTTTCAACAAGGTAATCAATCGCTTGAGTATTGGTGTTAGGAATTTTATGAGCTAGATCTTATCCTACGGTAGAAATCATGTAATTTATTTGCTGTTTCAACAGGCTGGAGGAACAGAAACATGCGATGCATGTTTCTGTTCCTTCATTATTTATTTCATCACTTCCCCTTCCCCCACCTCTGTGCACTTGCTTTCCCTCTGTGGGCACCTAGCTTCCTTGCAGTGCTCCCCTTTCTTTGTATTTGACTGGCTCCTCCTCCTTAATTCCCCACTACCACCACTACCACTACTTCTACCACTACCACTACCACTACTACTACCACTACTACTACCACTACTACTACCACTACTACTACCACTACTACTACCACTACTACTACCACTACTACTACCACTACCACTACTACTACTACCACCACCTCTTCCTGCCTATATATAGCCGTCCTGCTCCACTTCTTGTTAGTGTGACTTTGTAAATGGTCCAAGTCGGACCGAAACGTCGTCGTAAGCTCTTCTCTTCTATGTGCGGGTTATTTGTGTAAAATAACATTTCTTTGTTCATTAATCACATCTGCAGGCCTTTCCTTTATTACACTTACCTTCCATTTTGAATACATAATCACAAAAAAATAGAAGACATACTCCATTTCCCAGATAATGAAATATAGCCATGAATGACTGATTATGGTTGACAGCATCCCAATAATTGAATCAGTGATGTAGAACTATGTGAGGGACCCTGGCTTCAGTGATGTAGAACTATGTGAGGGACCCTGGCTTCAGTGATGTAGAACTGTGTGAAGGACCCTGGCTTCAGTGATGTAGAACTATGTGAAGGACCCTGGCTTCAGTGATGTAGAACTGTGTGAAGGACCCTGGCTTCAGTGATGTAGAACTATGTGAAGGACCCTGGCTTCAGTGATGTAGAACTGTGTGAAGGACCCTGGCTTCAGTGATGTAGAACTATGTGAAGGACCCTGGCTTCAGTGATGTAGAACTGTGTGAAGGACCCTGGCTTCAGTGATGTAGAACTATGTGAAGGACCCTGGCTTCAGTGATGTAGAACTATGTGAAGGACCCTGGCTTCAGTGATGTAGAACTGTGTGAAGGACCCTGGCTTCAGTGATGTAGAACTGTGTGAAGGACCCTGGCTTCAGTGATGTAGAACTATGTGAAGGACCCTGGCTTCAGTGATGTAGAACTATGTGAAGGACCCTGGCTTCAGTGATGTAGAACTATGTGAAGGACCCTGGCTTCAGTGATGTAGAACTGTGTGAAGGACCCTGGCTTCAGTGATGTAGAACTATGTGAAGGACCCTGGCTTCAGTGATGTAGAACTATGTGAAGGACCCTGGCTTCAGTGATGTAGAACTGTGTGAAGGACCCTGGCTTCAGTGATGTAGAACTGTGTGAAGGACCCTGGCTTCAGTGATGTAGAACTGTGTGAAGGACCCTGGCTTCAGTGATGTAGAACTATGTGAAGGACCCTGGCTTCAGTGATGTAGAACTGTGTGAAGGACCCTGGCTTCAGTGATGTAGAACTGTGTGAAGGACCTGGCTTCAGTGATGTAGAACTATGTGAAGGACCCTGGCTTCAGTGATGTAGAACTGTGTGAAGGACCCTGGCTTCAGTGATGTAGAACTATGTGAAGGACCCTGGCTTCAGTGATGTAGAACTATGTATAGGACCCTGGTTTCAAGGTCATTTCTTTGTGACACTTATCCAAATCACCACTGTTTCTGTAATATGTTTTCCATTCTATCAAATGAGACCATGAAAACAAGAATACAACTATAAATACTATACGAAAATACACCTCAAAGTCGGCATTTTAATCCAAAAACACAGTTGGAGTTTTTTTTCTCATTATGCACTATGTGCTGCAGAACTTTTTTTATACAGTGCACACTGACCACAGATCCATTCTCTCACATGTGAGCCTACCAGTTTTCTCCTGCTTGATTTGAAGCCACTAGAATTGTTGAGTATATATACATCTGGAACACTGGCTTGTAAGATGTATATATACTGCCGAAACAGTCAAAGGGTTAAAACCCTCGCTCATCTTTCATGGGGGGTTGATCGTAGAACTCTCCTTTGATTACATTCAGTCCTAATTTTATCGAAACTCGATTATGGCGAACAGATATTTCAGCGGCCTCTCCGTAACTCTCTTTCTAGCCTTAATCCCATCCATCACCAGGGATTACATTTATGCCTCAGTGCTTTTCGCTCTTCACCAGTTGAGAGCCTTTATGCAGAGGTGAATATTTCATCCTTGTCTGATCACCGTGATGCTCATTGCCTTTGCTGTTATGTTTGCTCCCATGACCTCCACATTCCTTCCATATATAGGATAGTCACTGATGTTAGTAGATGTTCTTTATTTGTTCATCACCCCTGTTTACTGTCCCTTTTCTCTTCGCCTGCATTCGCTCTTGTCTTCTCTTCAATTACCACCATTCTACCTTCATGTAGCATTTCACTTTTTCCTACCCCCTTGGGAAGCTCCAATGATTCGTGTCTGTTCTTTCCCACTGCCATGCGTGAAATCCCAATTGCCTATGGTGGCTTCATGCTTTCTTTTTCTTTACCACTTCCAATCTCGTTCTCATGCCATTGCAGTGTACACCGATGGTTCCAAGTCTTCTGATGGCATTGGATTTGCGGCAGTGTTTCCGGGCAGCATCATGCAAGGGCATATATTATCTTCAGCTGAATTGTATGCCATTCTCGTAGCACTTATCCGTATTGCATCTATGCCTGTGTCACCATTTGTGGTCATTTCAGACTCCCTTAGTGCTTTACAGGCTATCCAAAAATTTGATATACCTCATCTCTCAGTTCTTTGTATCCAACTTTGGTTATGCCATATCTCTAGCAAGCACAAAGATATTGTTTTTTGTTGGGTCCCTGGTCATATTGATGTACAGGGCAATGAACAGGCAGACACTGCTGCACGGTCTGCAGTACATGGCCTCCCAGTTTCATATCGAGGTGTTCCATTCATGGACTATTTTGCTGCAATTGCTATCCACCTTCGCACCCATTGGCAACAACTTTGGTCTGATCTGCTCCATAATAAACTACATTATATTCAACCAGGTTTCTGGCTGTCTTGTCATCAGTGTTGAGGTTGGGATACTACTCTCTCCCATCTTCGCATCAGCCACACTCGTCTTACTCATGGGTATCTCATGGAGAGGCGCCCTGTTCCTCTCTTTGAGAATTGTCAGGTTCCAGTTTCTGTTAGCCATATTCTGTTGGACTGCCCACTCTGTCAGTGAGCCCACATAATTTACCTCCAACATCATCTCCGCTCTACTGTCCTTTCTATACCTTCCGTTCTTGCGGATGAACCCTCCTCTAACCAAGACTCTCTCATTGACTTTTTGTCAGCAACTGATTTACTACACAAACTCTGATGATGATACCTCTAGCACTCCCCTCACTCCTTTCTACCCCAGTCTCTTGCTACCCTCTAACCCTGCACTATCCACTGCCCCGCTGCACTCCATAACGTAATACAGTGGAACCCCAAATATCGGCTGTAATCCGTTCAAGAAGGTCGGCCTAAATTCGAAAACGCTTAAATTTGAAGCAATATTTCCCATAACAATTAATGTAAATACAATTACTCTGTTCCAGACACCCAAAAATATTAACAAAAAAATACATATTTTAAAGATTAATTATAGTTTTACATACACAAAACAATGAGAACTAAATAAAATAAATAAATGAACATTTAAATGACTATTACATACCTTTATTGCAGACTCTTGTTGGTTTATGGAAGGCAGGGAGGAGGAGAGAGGGAGGACTGATTATGGAAGACAGGGAGGAGGAGAGAGGGAGGACTGATTATGGAAGGCAGGGAGGAGGAGAGAGGGAGGACTGATTATGGAAGGCAGGGAGGAGGAGAGAGGGAGGACTGATTATTGTTTGGATGGGGAATCCTCCTCCATAAGGACTTCAGGTATCAAAGCCCTCTCTGGGGTTACTTCCCTTCCTGCCTGCTACACTCCCTGCCTGCCTGCTACACTCCCTGCCTGCCTGCTACACTCCCTGCATGCCTGCTACACTCCCTGCCTGCCTGCTACACTCCCTGCATGCCTGCTACACTCCCTGCCTGCCTGCTACACTCCCTGCATGCCTGCTACACTCCCTGCATGCCTGCTACACTCCCTGCCTGCCTGCTACACTCCCTGCCTGCCTGCTACACTCCCTGCCTGCCTGCTACACTCTCTGCCTGCCTGCTACACTCCCTGCATGCCTGCTACACTCCCTGCATGCCTGCTACACTCCCTGCATGCCTGCTACACTCCCTGCCTGCCTGCTACACTCCCTGCCTGCCTGCTACACTCCCTGCCTGCCTGCTACACTCCCTGCCTGCCTGCTACACTCCCTGCCTGCCTGCTACACTCCCTCCATGCTACACTCCCTGCCTGCCTGCTACACCCCCTGCCTGCCTGCTACACTCTCTCCATGCTACACTCCCTGCATGTCTGCTACACCCCCTGCCTGCCTGCTACACTCCCTGCATGCCTGCTACACTCCCTGCCTGCCTGCTACACTCCCTGCATGCCTGCTACACTCCCTGCCTGCCTGCTACACTCCCTGCCTGCCTGCTACACTCCCTGCCTGCCTGCTACACTCCCTGCCTGCCTGCTACACTCCCTCCATGCTACACTCCCTGCCTGTCTGCTACACCCCCTGCCTCCTTGCTACACTCCCTCCATGCTACACTCCCTGCCTGTCTGCTACACCCCCTGCCTCCTTGCTACACTCCCTGCCTGCCTGCTACACTCCCTGCCTGCCTGCTACACTCCCTCCATGCTACACTCCCTGCCTGTCTGCTACACTCCCTGCCTGCCTGCTACACACCCTGCCTACCTGCTACACTCCCTGCCTCCCTGCTACACTCCCTGCCTGTCTGCTACACTCCCTGCCTGCCTGCTACACTCCCTGCCTCCCTGCTAAACTCCCTGCCTGCCTGCTACACTCCCTGCCTGCCTGCTACACTCCCTGCCTGCCTGCTACACTCCCTGCATGCCTGCTACACTCCCTGCATGCCTGCTACACTCCCTGCATGCCTGCTACACTCCCTGCCTCCCTGCTACACTCCCTGCCTGCCTGCTACACTCTCTGCCTGCCTGCTACACTCCCTGCTTGCCTGCTACACTCCCTGCATGCCTGCTACACTCCCTGCCTGCCTGCTACACTCCCTGCCTGCCTGCTACACTCCCTGCCTGCCTGCTACACTCCCTGCCTGCCTGCTACACTCCCTGCCTGCCTGCTACACTCTCTGCCTGCCTGCTACACTCCCTGCCTGCCTGCTACACTCCCTGCATGCCTGCTACACTCCCTGCCTGCCTGCTACACTCCCTGCCTGCCTGCTACACTCCCTGCCTGCCTGCTACACACCCTGCCTACCTGCTACACTCCCTACCTCCCTTCCACACTTCCTGTTTCCCTGCTACACTCCCTGCCTGCCTGCTACACTCCCTGCTTGCCTGCTACACTCCCTGCCTGCCTGCTACACTCCCTACCTGCCTGCTACACTCCCTGCCTGCCTGCTACACTCCCTGCCTGCCTGCTACACTCCCTGCCTGCCTGCTACACTCCCTGCATGCCTGCTACACTCCCTGCCTTCCTTCTACACTCCCTGCCTGCCTGCTACACTCCCTGCCACCTGCTACACTCCCTGCCTGCCTGCTACACTCCCTGCCTGCCTGCTACACTCCCTACCTACCTGCTACACTCCCTACCTCCCTTCCACACTTCCTGTTTCCCTGGTACACTCCCTGCCTGCCTGCTACACTCCCTGCCTGCCTGCTACACTCCCTGCCTGCCTTCTACACTCCCTGCCTGCCTGCTACACTCCCTGCCTACCTGCTACACTCCCTGCCTGCCTGCTACACTCCCTGCCTGCCTGCTACACTCCCTGCCTGCCTGCTACACTCCCTGCCTGCCTGCTACACTCCCTGCCTGCCTGCTACACTCCCTGCCTGCCTGCTACATTCCCTGAATGCCTGTTACACTCCATGCCTGCCTGCTACACTCCCTGCCTGCCGTCTACACTCCCTGCCTGCCTGTTTCACTCCCTGCCTGCCTGCTACACTCCCTGCCTGCCTGCTACACTCCCTGCCTGCCTGGTACACTCCCTGCCTGCCTGCTACACTCCCTGCCTGCCTGCTACATTCACTGCCTGCCTGCTACACTCCCTGCCTGCCTGCTACATTCACTGCCTGCCTGCTACACTCCCTGCCTGCCTGCTACACTCACTGCCTGCCTGCTACATTCACTGCCTGCCTGCTACACTCCCTGCCTGCCTGCTACACTCACTGCCTGCCTGCTACACTCACTGCCTGCCTGCTACACTCCCTCACTGCCTGCTACACTCCCTGCCTGCCTGCTACACTCCCTGCCTGCCTGCTACACTCCCTGCCTGCCTGCTACATTCACTGCCTGCCTGCTACACTTCCTGCCTGCCTGCTACATTAACTGCCTGCCTGCTACACTCACTGCCTGCCTGCTACACTCCCTGCCTGCCTGCTACACTCCCTGCCTGCCTGCTACACTCCTGCCTGCCTGCTACACTCACTGCCTGCCTGCTACACTCACTGCCTGCCTGCTACACTCCCTGCCTGTCTGCTACACTCCCTGAAACAGAATTTCACACATTGAATGTTCTTTTTTTGAAAGATTCCATTAATGCAGCTACACAAAACAATGTCTACAATACACTGATGACAAAAGTTGCTCGTCTAACCTCAATGAAATGACTGACCTCACTGAAACTCCCCACACTATTTTACAAAGGAGTGTACCATGGTGTATGATTTATATCACCACCATATTTCCCCCTGGAAATGTGCAAACACTTGAGTATGGAACCTTTTGATAGCACCTCGTATGTTTTGGTTAATTGCTACGCACCAACCATTGATCATACACTGGATACAGTTGAATTGCTATCTATGATTCCATGGTCAGTCTAATCTAAATTTAGATTCACAATCAATTCTTGGTGACAGAATTTTTACAAATCTATTGTTACAATATCTGGCCCACCCTCTGGGCATGACATATTCAACCATTGGGTCCTGCCTATGAGTGACAGTGTCTTCAACTGATGCACCTAATTGCTTCCAAAGATTTCAGTATAAAAGTTTCCATCTTCATGCCATTATATTAGATTAAAAAAGTCTTGGTCCTCATGCCTCTATATTAGGTTGAACAAATCTACTATGCAGGAAAAACATAACTCCATTATGGATACCCTGGTGTTGCAAAGTTACGAACAAGTTATAATTCATCTTTAACAAAATCATAATTATAAAGTTTACAGTTGTTGATTCATGTCTTATTCTTTCCTTTTGCAGTTCATCTCAACAGAAGAATTATACTTAGTGTCATTATCCAGTACATTGAAAGTGGTGCAAGTGGCTGATATACTGCAGAAATAATATGAGCAATGTGATAATGTTGACTACTTTGTTGTCAGTACATCCTGTATACACTTTTATCATAAAGCTTGCCTCATTATTCTGATAATTACATCTACACCTTCAACATCCAGTGACTCGAACTTCACTTACTATAATACCGTATTTATATTTATATAAAACTACATGTACAGTATTATCAAAATATATAAATATTTGGTTAGTGTTTTCATAAGACTCAAATATAGTTAAATGAAGTGTGGAGATTTATGTAATAATATTTATCTATATTCATAAAATAACAATTATCTTTTTGAACCATTATGCAGATATTTAAAATGTAAACAGTATTCCTGAATTAGGTTCACAGAACTATATGGTATAGGAATTGCATTTATTGACTGTTGGAAGAATATTGCAATGTATAATCTGTATTACTTCAAATAGTAACTGTGTGCAGAGGTTAACTGTTCACATCATGTGTGTGTGGCATGATTCTTTTCTTATACAGCGCACACCCACTGTACTAACCTGTTCTCATGCCTACGACAGAATTTTCTGCTTATTAAATTTGAGGGCACTATGAATTATATACACTAGTATGTTGTGAACATTGATCACTATGATGCACTAGTATGTGATACAGAGGTTAAGAGCGTGTGCACTCATATTGATGTGCTGTCATTATTGTATACACTGATGTAGATGTGCTGTTATTATATTCACTTATATTAATGTTATGTGCTGTTAATCATACAAACAGTAACAAATAAGAGTGTTAGTTGATAAAAGAAAATATTGATGCTCACATTTTCTTTGCACATTAAAAAAACTGCTGACATGTGCCAAGTTGGTGAATAATGGTTAATTTAATGTGTAATTAAATGTTCTTTTTTAAAAAAAAAAAACTAAATGAAAGAGTTTCCGATAGTAATAAAGAGAAAATATTAAGATCGTATATATGATGACTGTGTGTAAATGATCTCTGATAAATTTAATTTAGCTAAATTTTTCAGAAGACATGCAATATATTAGGCTTCCATAAGTAGAAAAAACAATCAGTGTCTAAATGACTTCCCAGATAAATAACGTAATGAAAATTCCTTCAAGAAAAAACACCCATCAGTGTTCAGAGTGTTTAAAAGACTTTAAACATAGATCACACCTAATAATACACATGCGAGTTCATTCACAAGAAAAACCATATCAGTGTTCACAGTGTTTAAAAGGGTTTTCACAAAAATCGCATCTAATACAACACATGCGAGTTCATTCACAAGAAAAACCATATCAGTGTTCAGAGTGTTCAAAAGAGTTTTCACAAAAATCGCATCTAATACAACACATGCGAGTTCATTCACAAGAAAAACCATATCAGTGTTCAGAATGTCTTAAAAAGTTTTCACACAAAACAACTCTCATACAACACTTGAGAGTTCATTCACAAGAAAAACCGTTTCGGTGTTCAGAGTGTCTTAAAGACTTTTCACGTAAATCAGCTTTAATACTACACTTGAGAGATCATTCAAATGAAAAACCATTTCAGTGTTCAGAGTGCCTAAGAGCCTTTTCACGTAAATCAACTTTGATACTACACTTGAGTGTTCATTCACAAGAAAAGCCATATAAGTGTTCAGTGTGTCTGAAAGGCTTTTCACAAAAATCAACTCTTACAACACACATGAAAGTTCATTCGCAAGAAAAGCCATACAAATGTTCCGAGTGTTTACAAGAGTTTTCACGTAAATCATATCTAATACAACACGTGAGTATTCATTCACAAGAAAAACCATATCAGTGTTCAGTGTGTCTAAAAGATTTTTCACAAAAATCAACTCTAACACGACACACGAAAGTTCATTCACAAGAAAAACCATACAAGTGTTCCGAGTGTTTACTAGAGTTTTCACGAAAATCATACTTAATACAACACATGAGAGTTCATTCACAAGAAAGACCATATCAGTGTTCAGAGTGTTTAAAAAACTTTTCACTTAAAGCGACTCTAACGCGACACATGAGAATTCATTCACAGGAAAAACCATATCAGTGTTCAGATTGTCTAAAAAACTTTTCACTAAAATCAACTCTTATTCGACACATGAAGGTTCATTCACAAGAAAAGTCATTCCATTGTTCAGTGTGTCTGAAAGACTTTTCACAAAAATCAACTCTAAAGCGACACATGAGAGTTCATTCACAAGAATCACATTAATCAAATCTAGTAACACATGAGACGACAAAAATGGTTATAATCATTACAATAATTTTAAAGGAATTGATGGTAAGCCAGTGGGCGGCCCCAGTCAGATGACCAAAAGCTTAAGCAGCTGCTCATCATATGACCAAGACCCATGTCAGGTAACACTTGTCTTGTTTCCTGACAAATCTTGCCTAACCTAACAGAGTTTTTCAGTAAAGAATCCTTTTCATGGAGGATTCCCTTGATGCTGATAATGGGCTTTTGATCCTGGTGTTTAAATCTACCTTTCCCTTTCTTAGATCAAATGTGTTTACTTTTCTGTTTTTCCTATCATTCCCCATGTGCTGTAGGATTATTATGGCTTTAACATTTCCCCATGAATATGATAAAATAATAATTATCTGAAATTTAAAATTTGTGATTGTTTTCATAATCCTAATGAAGAAGTTATTCTATGCTTTTGGGGATCACTTCCTTCAAAGGCGATGCATTGACACCAGTGAAGGGCTCTTGATCTATTAAATTGTAGACATTCTTCACTTGGCTCAGACTTGAATGCCTTCCATTTTCCAGGCACTTTATGACACCTATGGATATAATGCTTACTATCTCATTAAATAATTTTGAAAATGAAAATGATTATTTCCTTGAAAAGCTTACAATGTGTGGTTTACTCTATATTGGCACAGGTTATGGAGCAGTACATTTTAATATACATTATTGCATATTGATGTAAAAGTTAGGTAATCAGAGTGATTATCATTAATTAGATTGATAATAGTGAGGTAGTATCAGACATATAATAATATTACAGTTAATAAATATAGTAATGGGAGCTGCTTTATTGTGGCATGATACACTGTTTCTTTAGCCCTTTCAAGGTCAAGACCCCTGATTCTTAACACTATCAAGATTCATCCTGTAGATCTACAGCTTTAAAGCCATTGTCCAAGCTGTAGATCTACGCCAAAATTCTAGCGGCTTCAAATTTAACGTGAGAAGGCTGGTAGGCCTACATCTAAGAGAAAGGGTCTGCATGGTCAGTGTGGACAGTAAACAAAAAAAAATGGGGCATTTGCACTGCATTGTGGGAACGCCATCTCAGTATGCTTTGTTCATCATGCCTTGTGGTGAAATGCAGCTTCCGCCCCAGTCCCACCCTGGGGTCAACAAAGCACCAGATGATGCTACATTGCCGGTTCCCTCGGGTAGAGACACGGAGTGGACAAAAAAAATGTGAGAATATAGAAAACAAATAACAAGGAGAATCACTAGGGTATGAGAGAATAGAAGGTAGTGCTCTATTCTCTTGGAAGTATGCTGCCATCACCTGCTCTTTTAATAGTGGAAGAGATAAAAGTAACTACATGTATAGGCATAGGAGAAGAGGAGAAAACATGGAGTTTGGGTTAGAGCAGGAGAAAACCCAGTGAGACATAATACAGAATAGTTACAACAAGATAGGGGTCCTGATAAGTACTGGCTCTTAGGGTAGCTGGGCCTGAAACTTGAGGCTTGGCTCTCCAAATAAAATGATATCATCAATACATTATTCAATTTAACCTCTGAGAAAAAAAACTGGACCTTATTTACATGGCTCGAAGGGGTAAGTAAAACATACTCAGATAAAACCACTTGCAATTTAGCCCTTTGACTGTTTACGCTGTATATATACGTCTTACGCGCCACTGTTTCTGACGTATTTATACGCATAAATTCTAGCGGCTTCAAATCAAGTGGGAAAAGCCTGGTAGGCCTACATGAGAGAGAATGGGTCTGAGTGGTGGGTGTGCACCCTGTGAAAAAATTCTGGGACTCAGTGGTGCATTGTGGGAACGCCATCTTGGTAGTCCATTTTCACCATGCCTCGCAGTAGGAAGTACCTCACTCCTTGGTGGATTGGAGGTCTTTTGTTCCCTAGTGATAGCTCTAACAGTGATGGAAGTGTCAGTGACAGAATTCCATGGTTTTCAAGTGAGTGTGACCGAAAAAAGTGCCCAGGATGACGTAATTAGTGATGAAAACCCAGATGACCCATGACCTTCCACCTCTGGTGCTGGGCCGGCTTGTTCATGTTCACGTTCACCTGTACCAGGATGAAAGAGGAAACTATTTGGCCATGTACAAGACCCAGATGTTAGCAGTGAACATGATAGTGATAGTGATTTCAAGGTTATTGAAAGCAGTTCTAGTTGTGACAGTGAGGGTGAATATTCCCCAGTGAAGCGGCAGTATGTACGACGTAGCATGCGGTCTGGTAGTGTTTCATATGCTGTTCCAAGGGGAAAGAGTAACTCTGGGAGCACATCCCATGGCCCTACACCACGACTGATAGTGAGGATGACGATATTGTTACGATGGGTATGAATGATGTGAGTGAGGCAGCAGGCAGTGGTGGTGATAGTGATGGTGGCACGACCCATGTGGCACCAGCAGCGGGCCACGCTACTACCCACGCTACTGACTCTGCATAACAACAACCAGCCTCACCCAACCCCACACTCCCACAACCTACACAACCACAACCTGCACAACCACAACCACGTTACAATATCCAGAACCCACCAGCAGACCGCATCTGGGATTGGCAGGAAGGTGACGAGTTTGTTCCCAGTCCCCATGACTTTGATGAAACACAAAGTGGAATAAAGCCATCATGTCCACTTGGGAACAATGCTAGTGAACTGGAATGCTTTGAGTTATTCTTCGATGAACCCCTGATGGACATCATTGTCAGGGAAACCAACACATACTATGAGTACACCATGGCAAATACAATTCTCTCACCAAGATCACGGCTACACCAGTGGAAGGACACAACTGTGGCAGAGACGTACCTGTTTTTTGCCACAATAATGCTTATGTTACATGTGTATAAGCACACTGTCACCACATACTGGGCAACAGAACACCTGATTTCAACTCCAGGTTTTAGTGACATTATAGGTGTCAATCGTTTCTTGATACTGTTACGTATGTTACACTTTTCAGACGAAACCAGGCCTGACACAAGCGACAGGTTATATAAGATCAGAAATGTGTTTATTTACATGAAACAAAAGTGCTGCATGTATTTTTATCTCTTCAGGAAACTTGTTATTGATGAGTCTTTGATTTTATTCAAAGGAAGACTCTCATTCAAGCAATACATACCAAGCAAGAGGAAATGCTTTGGTATAAAGTTATTTGTACTGTGTGATTGCAGAAGTGGTCTAGTTTTGGATATCATTGTGTATACTGGCAGTAATACTTTGAGAGATACCATGAAGTTATTGGGTATCTCTGGTGATGTGGTTAGAACAATGATGGAACCATATCTTGGTAAGGGGCATATGTTATTTACTGATAACTGGTACACAAGCCCCTTACTCAGTGATTTCTTGTGAGTGAACTTGACAGACGTGTGTGGCACAGTGCATGGTAATCGTAAACATATGCCAAGGTTCGACGCTGGCACTCGCAGAGGTGAGGCGCAAGCCTTTGCTGCCAATGACATCATGGCATTTCGGTGGCATGACAAACGTGATGTCACATTGTTGACATCAGTTCACCAAAACGAAATGGCACACACTGGCAGGCACAACAGAGAGACCAATGAACCCATTCTAAAGCCTGCAGCTGTCATGGACTACAACCTCAATATGCGCTTAGTGGACAAATATGACATGCAGATTGGGTTTGCTGATTGTGTATGCAAGAGTTATAAGTGGTATATAAAACTTTTTTCCATCTTGTTGATATCCATGCTAAATGCTTATAACATATACAAGTTGAGGACCAACAAAACACCAAAATATGGTGAATTTTATTTGTGAGTCATCAGACAAATAATCGCCAAGTACCAGGGAGCAACACCTGCAATAGACCAGCGCCCACGAAATTACCAACACACGCCATCTCGTTTGCGGCCTGGTGATCACTACCTCATACAACTGCCTCCTACTGCTTCCAAGAAAAATGCTCAGAGGTGTTTTGTATGTGTACATACCACAAAACGCCCACAAACATGCAAAGACACTCGTTTTATGTGTGAGGAGTGTCAAGTGCCACTCTGCATATACCCATATTTCTAAGAGTTCCACAAGCTGCAGCAGTTCTAGGAATGTGTTCAGTGACTGTATATATTATAGAACAATAGTAATAAACAATGTTTTGTATTGTTTGTGTAAACAAATTTTATACACAAACTAATAGTGATAAAGTTTGTTCAGTTATTGTGTTGTAAATAATAAGTGTATATTTGAACAATGCACCTTACTTTGGTCTCACAGGCCACATAAGTTACTTGGAAAAGAAAAATATTGGAAAATACAAGAAACTTTCGAATTAGAGTAAATAAAAGAATACCGGGTGGGCGGCAGTCGCCGCTGTTGCTGTACGCAGCTCACTTTCTGCCAACTTTGCACCTCTATATCTCGGTAAATACAGATGGCAAAAAAATTTTTTTAGGCTTAAAACACTCGGTAAAATAATCCTAACATTTTCATAAGAAAAAATGATTTTTTCTTTTTTCGAATATTTTGCAACATAGAATGACAGTTTCAGAAAGGAGCCTGCAACAGTCAAAGGGTTAATAAATACATTACAGAGAAATCTGAAATTGTTCGAACCTAAGAAAAAAATGACTAGCAGCAAATACCTAATACTGCAATAGAACCTGCATACTGATATAACAATCACCCCACACAGTTCCCGAGGAACTCCCTTGCTTTGACGTACTGTCTGGGGTTACCTCCCTTGATCTACTGCCTTAATACAGTGGACCCCCGCATAGCGAACTTAATCCGTGCAAGAGGGCTGGTCGTTATGCGAAATGTTCGCTATGCGAATTAATTTTCCCCATAAGAAATAATGGAAATAAAATTAATCCGTGCAAGACACCCAAAAGTATGAAAAAAAAATTTTTTTACCACAAAAAAATGTTAATTTTAGTACACACAAACTGAAAAAGGCATGCACAATTACATGACACTTACTTTTATTGAAGATCTGGTGATGATTGATGGGATGGGAGGAGGGGAGAGAGAGTGTTAGTGTTTAGAAGGGGAATCCCCTTCCATTAACACTTGAGGAGGCAAGTCCTTTTCCGGGGTTACTTCCCTTCTTCTTTTAATGCCACTAGGACCAGCTTCAGAGTCACTGGACTTCTTTCTGTCCATAGAGCTCTGTACCTCCCGTTCCTTTACGATTTGTCTAAAATGGGCCATAACATTGTCATTGAAATAGTCACCAGCACGCCTTGCAACAGCTGTGTCAGGGTGATTTTCATCCATAAAGGTTTGCAGTTCAACCCACTGTGCACACATTTCCTTAATTTTTGAAGTAGGCACAATGGATTCCACAACTGGCATAGGCTTCTCAGGGTTAGCCCCAAACCCTTCAAAATCTTTCTTAATTTCCATACTAATTCTCACCCTTTTTACCACAGGGTTGGCACTAGAAGCTTTCTTGGGGCCCATGGTCACTTATTTTCAACAAACAGAACCGAAAACACTGTAATAATACGAAATATTCCGAGTGTATGCTTGAATGTTACCGCGGAGGCTAGCTGGTAAACAATGGGACAGGCGGCACATGTGAGGCTGGCTGAGGCCGCACATTGGACGCGTCTCGGACGAAGTTCGCTGAGCGGGTTTTTGTCTACTATGCGGGGCAAAATTTTAGCGATCAAAGCGTTCGCTATGCGGAATGTTCGCTATGCAAGGCGTTCGCTATGCGGGGGTCCACTGTATATTCCTTCTTCTGGCCACTACTGAGGTCTTCCCCAAATCCTAGATTACAAGCCTGGACTGATTCTTCAGGGCTAGGGTTTTCA